GAGGACTCTCGCGGAAATTGGACGTCATGAGAAGAGAAGGACGGAAACGGAACTCAACGTTCGGCGCTTTTGAAGAAGGGATTCGTCACATCTGTCAGTTTGGTCAAGTGATCGATCCCTCTCTCGTCTCAAAGTTAAGTCAGAAGGATCGTCCGCATTGGCCGTAAAAAGTATGCAGTGAGCAATGAGCCAATTGACCGGTCGACTATTCTTCGACCGTAAGACAAGTAATCTACTGCGATTGGTCAGTTTTTTTACTGCTTAAGTTTTTACGTGTCGCCCTTGGAGTTCACGGCAACTGGAGCCACCATTGGATTCTAATAAATCGAGAAGTAAGTCTGTTGTTGGATAACCCGGGACGGAGATTTCTCATTTATCTCGTATCGGCGTGCCACCGATTCAAATGAGGAGCAAAGAGCCTCGAGACTATCTTCGGTATCAGTTCGATAAAAGATCTTACCTTGCCGACTCTGATCTCTGAGTGGGCAACGATGCCCGTCGCGATCGAGCGCTGCCGACCACGACGGTGTCGACGTTGGGACAGAGATCGGTGGGGGCCACAGGAGCGACGACGTTCGCAATGGCCGAAGGCGCCCCGTATACCATTGGCATGGTCACAGCGACTCCATAAGACGACTCCTGTCGATGATTCGAGGGCGGAGCGACCGCCGTCGCCGTGGCGGGCGCCGATTCCGCGGAGAAGTAGCTCTGATGGTGATGCGGGGCCTGTTGCTGTTGCTGATGGTGTTGCGAGTGATGGTGGTGGTGCTGTTGCTGCGGTTGCTGCTGCTGCGGCTGGTGCTCGTGGTAGGACACCGCGGCCGTGAAGTCGGTCGGGTAGTGAGTGGCGCACGAATATACCTGGTTGTCGTAGCACTCCTCGTCCATCTTGATGCCGAGGCCCTGGAGTTCCTGTCTGGTGTATCGCTGCACCGTGTAGGTCTCCTGGAAGCTCGGCAGGGGTGTAGGACTGCGAAGCATAAATTATCGCGATTCTTGCAACTCCTGTATTCTGAAGTACACAGTAAAACAGGTTGGATTTGATGATGTACGGTAAAAAAATTTGCGTTAAAAACAGTCCACCGAAATTCTTGTGTTGCTTCATTACGGGAATATGTTGAAAAGTATACCAATATATACTAAATTAATATATTAATTTTGAACATATTCATCCGGTTAAAGTAACTCGGAAATTTCAGCGGACAGTTTTTAATAGAAATTATTTGTACTGTGTATTATCACAGGACCTTCGACACTTTAATACTCGTAGTAATAACGACAGAGTTGTTGTTACACGATGACGCACGTGAGCTGAGGCGGACGAATTGTGACGAAGTCGACACGCTACTGTATAGTTTCATCGTCGCTCGATAAATCATCGTGAGGGTTTACGTTCGCTGATGTCGAGATATTAGAAGTTTAGCAACAAGCCGCGTACCTAAGGGAGTCGGCTTGGACGTCCTCCGGAAGAGGTGGTGGTGGTGGTGGCGGTTGGGGTGGTTGCTGATGATGTACACTTTGCTGGGACTGAGCAGACTCGTCAACCGTAGGCACGCCTTGCGGATTCCCGAGCTGCAGTTCTGGAAAAGGATCCAGTTCTTCGGACAGGCTCCCGGCATCCGCAGGATCCGTGTAAGGAGCGCTCAGCAAATCCGCAAAACTGCTACATCCGAACGGACTCTGCAATCAGAAGTCACAGCCATTTTTTACAGACCATGTGTAACACAACGCAGTGATAAAGAAAAGTCGATAAAGTGAATCAAAGATTATATAAAATTATATATGAATTTGAGAAAACCCCAAAAATATCATTTTAACAGAATCTTTAAAAAAATACTTAAAATATAATCAAATGTGTTTAGAGAAAAAGTAACAATTCGGCAATTATTTTTACGCGGCAACCACGTATAAACAAACAGATTTTTTAGATAATTCAACAAAATGATGTCAATGATTTCTAGAAAAAAATGATAAAAAACAATATAACAACGTCCGAAAGGAATCGGAAGGATCAGCAAAGTGAAGGATGATAAAATGACAAAGAGGAGGGAAGATAAAAAATACCTGGGGTCTCGTGAATGACGTGTGCCAATTTGGACGCCAATGTTATCGAGACATAAATTTGGCGAGTCCTCTCCCTGAATTACGTATCCCGGATAAGCGAGAATCGACTATTAACTTTAAACACCGCTGTGTGTTCTCCTCCGGCGGAGCCGGTTACAGTCTCCGGAGAGCCGTGCGAGCGGCAAATCGAAGTACTCAACTGCAAGGCGGAAACATTGTTCGACCACAATTGCGAGCCGCGTCGAGACATCGATGTACAATCGAGGTGCGCAGTGAGGATGTTCGAGAGAGGATTGGACAAGGCAGCTCGTATCGCGTGTTGTCTATAAGCTAGCGCTCGATAGAGGCTTAGAGTCCCTCTCTTTCTCTCTCTCTCACTGCCTCCTCGCTCGCTCTCGCTCTTTGTCCCCCTGCTCTTCTTCCTTTCCCTTCTTCCTCCTTCAATCATTGATAGCCGATAGTCGATAGACGGTAAAACACTAGGCGAGCCCGCGGTTAAATATTCGCACGCGGCAATAGGATAATAATAAACGACGGTCCGTGTTGATACACTTTGCAAATCGACTGGCCACCGAGCGGCGATGATGTATACGTGTTGCGGGACGCTGTAATGAATTACTCAGCCGGCCATGAAATATTCAAACGGCGGCCGCTTCATTCAGCTTTCGAAATTAACGATGTAGGTTTATCTCCGCGGCGTCCGACGCGACGGATTCGCGTGATCGCGCAACAGTACTTTCTATTCCGCTTGTGAAACAGGTCCGCCAAATTTTACAAGATTAATGCGTCCCCGTTGGGGAGTTACGAAGACGACGAAAAAATGCGAACGTAATAGAAATCGCGAGTGATATAATGCCAAACACACCGGGGGCCGCGGAAATTCTGCATTCGAATCGGAGATGTCGACGTTCGCGCGAAAATGCTTTTACAATTGAAATTTAGTTATCAGACCTAGTTTTCAGCTGTGGGAGCTAAATTTTAGTTGTATGAACAGCTTAATTTCTTTTTACTCCGCGCACCTGTATTATCTGTATTATTAAAAAGCGCGAGTGAAAAGAAAATCAAAAATACCGGCGTTACAGGACATCCTGCGGCGGCAAGGGGGGGGGNNNNGGGGGGGGGGGGAGGGAAGGAAGAGAGGATGAGCTAAGAGATAGTAACATGAGAAAGGGGGACGGGCACGGTCGAGGGTGGATATTCAATTTGCCAGCGCCGGTTCCGCTTCGGGCTGACATTTCGCTCATCGCTCCCCCGAGGACCGGCGATCGAAGCATCGTCCTTCTAGACCGTGAATAAATGGCCTGCTAAACGGCGTCCTAAAAGCGCACCCCTCCTCCTCCTCCCACTCCCTCGCCCCTTCTCCGCTCCGTAAACCGCCGAGACAACGTCTCCGACGTTGCCTCGCTAATTTAGCGACGCGTTTTAGCGGTTAATTGACCGCGACGTCGTCTCATCCACCGCGCGGCAAGAAGGCAGAAGTTGAAATGAAAGAGAGGCACCGAGTCGAAGGAGTCGAGAAAAGGGCGGTCAGGCGGGAGGGAAAGAGGGAGAAACAGGTAGGACGATGCTCGGCATCCGGGTACGTGGAATGCAGATCGCGCGTGATACACGCGCAGATGACGATCGCGAGACGTGGGAGGGTGGATCTTGTTACCGGGCCAAGCAGGATCGCCGTGGAATCCGAGAGCTCTTGGGAGTCGATAAGAATTGGATTAACTGTCGGATCGAGGTAGCGATAATTTTCAGTTGGACTAGCGCGTAGGCGAGAGAGAGAGAGAGAGTGAGAGGGAGGGAGGGAGGGTCGGTCGGTGGGAAAGACGCCGGCTGCTGTGCGCCTTGCGGTTCCGATAAGGCAGGATCGTACGCGATAACGAATGATGGAGGAGGGAAAAGGTGGTCTACCGTTACGTGGAATGTCCTGCGAAGGAAAGGTTGAAGGGGGGAGGGGCACAGAGAGACCTTAGGGGGCAAAAGAGCGCGCGATAAATCTTAGAAAACTCGACCTCTCTCTCTCTCTCTCTCTCTCTCTCTTTCTCTCACTCTTTATTTTCAAACAACTCCTGGAGGGCGCGTTCTTCCGCGGGAAATCGTCCGTTAAATAACGTCGATCGCGACTTCGCCGATTATGCAACGTCGAAAATGAAATAATCGTAATACACAAGAGGCTTCAAAGGTGTGCACGTCGGCGATGATAAAAGTTTCGTCACGGATCACCGGTAAATTACACGAAAGGCGATCTGCCTTCGCGTTCGCGAACTTGCCTTCTGCCCGGGACATTGCACATACATATCTCTTATGAATGTTCTTCTTGGAATTATTTATGCGGGATGAGGCGAGATGAGATACGAGCGCGCGGTTACACGGACGAATATTATTACGTAAAATTACAACTTACGTTGCGTCATGCGAACGTGGCATGCAAACGCGTTTGGCTTCACCAACACGCTCGATTCTTACTACACACGTGCGAGAATCTCATAATGCGGATGACGCACTTCCGAATATTTAAATTACGATATTGCGAGTTTTTGCTTCCTGTTATTTATCGATTATTTTTTCAACTTAATTATTTACCGAAAGTAATAACGTTGGTTTTGTTTTCCTCACAGAGTTTCTCGTGTCTTTTGTACTTTTTACGAGGGATTCGTTGACTCAAACAAAATGCTTGTTTGGATATAAACAAATGTTTTGGTCGTGAAAGTTAAAATTTGACTCTCTGAACCAAAGTTTTCGTTCTCTCAAATCAAATCTTTTACATTTTCCGTTCAGTTTGTTTCAATCGACTAAACGAGTTTCTTCATGTAAGAAAAAAAAGGAAGAGGCTAACCTGCGTTTGCAAGAGAAGCATGCTTGATGCCACCGTGAAGGCGGTCGTAGTCGTGGTGATAGACGATTGATTTGTGCAGGCGAGAACCGGAACGGTAGCGGTCGCCTGACGTTGCTGCTGCTGCTGCCGTTGGCGATGTGGCTGTTGCTGTTGCTCTACCTCACTGCGAGTAACAGCCACCGCACGCTGGCTACCGTTGCTGTTATCGCTATCGCCGTTCGGCGAATGCAGTTGCCCTGCAATATTCAAATAAATGCCCTTGATTATTATATTTTTTTTATATCACACGATAACGAAGTATATTACTCGTGTCAAGAGGTAGCGATAATTTTCATTTGGACTCGCGCGTAGGCGAGGTAAAAGACAAGACGAAGCAAAAGGTGTGAACAAATTTAAAAACGGACAATAGCATTTCGAGAGAAAAATACAATAGTATTATTCTATTATTATTACTGTACTATTATTAATACGAAAAAAAAGATTGCGGGTTATATTTGTAATTAAGTATAACAAAACGTTTTAATTATTCTCAATGATAATAAAATATTTTTATTATGTTTATAATAATGAAAAGAAACTTCTAATTTGTAAAAAGTTAAAAAAAATGTCCTTACATATTTGTAAGTTATTTAATATAATAAGACATTAGACGGCATAGCAGAATAAAAAAACACGTGATCTATAACGCATATTGGCCTTTTGTGTTAATAACGGACTGCGACCACCCGTTGATGAACAATGTACGAGCTTGCTATCATCAGATGCTAGCAAACGTGGAGGACGGTGTATCACCATTCATTTGTGCGCAATGAGGCAAATATGGACCGCAACCTCGTTTCTCGTGCGGGAAAAAAACTTTCTGACGCGCAATTTCAAACGATACGCCGGGAAGGTGCAGCGAGACTCTTTCTATCGCGTTTAATATTGATTTTCAGTATTCTATCGCTGCGTACCGCACTTCCTGCGCCATTAAGTACAACTCGGCCATTCTCGAACGTTTAAATCTCCACTTTGGAGTCGAATGTCTATTGTCCGTATGATAAAAAGGAGAACTCCGCGACGTTAAAAGTAACATAGCCGTAAGATATTTCCTTCTCACTTTTCCGTTCTACCATTTCCTCCTGAATCAAATTATTATTAAATATTTCGGTTAAAGCGAGAAAGAGCAGTCTCGTCGTCGAGAAAGACAGTTCTCCCGTACTACAATTCAAATGTTACATGATCGACCGATAACGAAAAAATTCGATACCGCGAAAATCTCGCGGATGGAACGCTCGGAAAGTACGTACAGTATCTGCGATACTGAGAGTGTCCGCCGTCCATGGCGATCATGTCTGCGTACCGCTACGAGTTGAACGATTACGCAAGAGCGCGAGCGAACTCTTATCACTCCGGACACGCTGAATTCTAGTAGGATTAAACGGCCAATCAGCCGAACAAGTGGAGAACTAAGGGCAGTCGTTGGCGTAAGAAATGTCCAAAATCACTTTCACTGAGTCCGGGTTGGATCTCGCGGCTGAGAAACCCGTGGTGGATCTTATTAATCGGCGGATTCTCGTCGTCGACTGAGCACTTGGACGCCGCCGACACGTTCTATATAGGGTGGCCACCAACACCCCGGGGAGACATGAAATCATTGGCATTTAAAATACTACCACCCCCCGTCCTACACAAACAACCACGCGCCCTCCTCTTGCCCGTTATTATTACGCGATATTATCCCCTGACGGCCAAGGGACGATCACTGTCATGCCGACGACGATCTTCTCGACGCTTTTCGAACAACCCATCTCGACATAGCTGGGTAGACCGTCGCGACTTTCTTCGCGTGATTAGTGGGAATCGTTAATTATAGAACCGGCAAACCTATGGAATTTTCCGGCGAAACATCTTTGATCATATCGAGATTTGACTTACATTCGTAATAAAAACAAAATTGTCCGCAGGAAGGAACGATATTTCTATACGGAAAGAAGGAATCAGCTATCCATATAATACAACTGAAATTTAGTTATCAGATTTAAGGACTACAGAAACAAAAAGAATTAGCTAAATTCACTAAATTTCAATTGTATTATATGAACAGCGAAGTTTTATCTGCGGGAGCTAGTTTTTAGTTGTGTGGGAACTATTTCTTTTTTTCTATGTAATCGAAAAGTGACGAGTACGGATTCTCTTCGAAGAAACGTCAGATTAAATCAGGTTAGCAATCGAGAATATTATTTATACAAACAATAACCGTACGAAATTCGATGTATTTGTTATTATTATTTATTATTAAAATTACGATATTCACAAGAGAAGTCATGACTCATCACTCATCTAAAGTCCAAACAGATCACCTGCGAGTCTCCGCAGCGCCCGAAAGACACCGTGGAGACTTGCATCCCCGACGTGATGAGCCATTTATCTAATTATGAGAAACAATAGGAGGGGGGTGGACTCTCGACGCTGGCGAGAGCGTCGGTGATTTATCGAGCACACCGGAAAGGGCTTTCGATAGGCGCGTAATCCGATACGCAACAACAGCAGGGCGCGTCGAGATGCCGCTCGCAGATAGTCACAGGCGCCGAACGTCGCGTTCGATTTTAATTTCACGATCGCGGACCACCCGCCGCGATCGCGAGCGGCGCCCGGGCGTCGCGCCGCTCGTGAACGATTTCACCGTGACGATCGGCACGGGCGGAGGAGGCGACGATTAGGCACAATGGACCGGCTGTTACGGTGAATTGAACGCGCGAGGGGGAGGACTCTTATTGTTATTCGCAACGGTGCCACGCGGAGTCTCGGCGTGAAGCGGGGAAATCGGCGACGTCTTCCGGCCGCGCCGGTTATGACCGAGTCGGGGAAGAGGATTCCCGTTAATTATCCGCCGGAACGCGAGACGAAACCGGTGCGCAACCAGCGGGCTGCTGAGATCTTGGAAAAAACATAAATCCTCGAAATTATAGATATTATGTGTGTCTTACGTTATAGAGAATTGCTCGTCTTTTCGAAGACGCTCGTCAGAGCGCCGATGTGTGGGAATGCGAACGCACGGCAAATGCGGATCTCTCGTTTAGCAATCAACTAAATTTTCTCAGAGAGATTTTACTAATTGTAGTGTTGCATTCATAATTGATTCCACCGTTTTTCAGTGCGTAAAATGTGTAAATAACGGCCCACTACAATTCTTGTGTTAAATTAACACAGTGAATATGTTAAAAAGTAATATAAAGTAATATATAAAGTAAAAGTAAAATATGTTAACAAAGTGAATACGTTAATTTAACATATATTTATATTCCCACGTTAAAGTAACACAACATTTTCAGTGAGCCGTTATTTAAAATTGTTAACTATAGGAAAATACATTGATTCCATTTTCGAAAAAAACACACGATTAAAATAGTTATTTGTGAAAAAATAACTTAGAAAATTATTATGCACGCGAAATTGGATACGACGGTAATCTGTCGGTCGAATCTGCTATCGATTGAGACGTGTGCGCGTATAAGAAAAATACAGCGAGAATTGTGTGCGCACTGTTGGAAGCGCCGATTACGTTCGAATAAAACGTCTGTCCGCGTCGATGGAAAGTAAAGCAAGTCGTGCGCGATTCGAAGAGACGCCGAGAATTCCCGATTACTAATTGCATCGTAAACAACGACCTGGTGCAATTAACGAGGCTACCTGCCAGCTTGATAGTCGCGTGTTTCGGAGGAATGAAAACGCGCTTGTAGCTCTTACCGCTATGAAATACAATGTCGTTATCGCCACGCAATAAATTAGTCGATACGGAGCGAATGTCAACCGGTAACGTAGTACGTTATAGTTACGGTTAATTACAGGTGAACACCGTTGCATCTCGTTCGCGGCTATTTTTACGCGCGAAAATGGCACTTAACAGTCCGCTCGGGAATACCATAAAATCCGTAATTCAAGATTGTGTAAAGGCTAAATGTGCAATTACATGTAATCTTCCCTGCAAAAATACGATGAACGTAGGCACAAGTGCACTGTAAGATCATAAAAGATCTCCTGTGAATTATTTGCGACGTAAACAGGATAATGATTACCAAAAACAAACTCGGAAGTATCAGTAAATTGAATTAGAAAAATATCAATAACAACGTAACTCTCTCTGATCTTATTGACCACTCACAACGATCCGTATTTCAACGCAGCATTGTTGCAGCGTTCAAATCAGCTGTCGACCTCGCTGTAATTTTTTCACATCGTCAATCCTATTCGTAACGCTCTGCTCTCACGGCTTACACAATCTTATCTCTCGATTCCTCTGAACCAGAAAAAAGGGAACGTGTAATACCGATATCTCGGAACGCTTTCTCGTGAACTCGGGTCCTAATCACTTCGATTGCTTTCTCGATCTAATACGAGAACGCGATCGCGCCTACGACGAAGCGAATAACGGAGATATCGGATCCTGTGCACCTGAAGCGCACACGTGCACGCGGAAGAGCGCGACGACGGCAGCGACGGCGGTGGCCAACACGCGCGGCAGTGCCGTTGGCAGGATAAACCGCGCGAAGGCAGAGAGGAGACAGGGTAGGGTAGCGCGAACGGCTGAGAAAAGAGTAGGGTTTAGCCGAACAGCCGTGTGCCAAGTGGATTGCAGCGGTCTGCCGTGCACGGCCCTCCCACGAACCACGCCTCTCCACGTGCCACCACGTGCACGTTTGCTCGCACGTTCTCTTCGCTCCTCCGCGCTATCCATCGCGCGCGTCACTCGCCCGCCGGTCTTACTCTTCGCGTCTCCTTACCCTCCCTTCCTTCCGCCGCTTTGTCGTCGGACTTTCCTCGCGCCTCTCCGCCGAGGAAAGTGACTTCCGCGTTGTCTCCGCGTGTGAATCACATATGTATGTATGTGTGTATGTTGTATTGACAAATAATGTTGCTGTTGTAGCGAAACCACGTCGTTGCCATCGCATATCCGTGGCGACGGCAATAAAATCTCGTTGGCGTAAGCAAATTAGCAAATCATTCGTAATTCGAGAGCAGAAACAGTTTTGTCGCCAGGATGGAAAATATTTTGCTCGGTGTGTTTGTACAAGGACCTCGGGACGAGTTAATTTGCTGTTAGGACAAAATAATGCGTTGCACGTTTATCAATTTGTTCTTGCGGCAAAATAATTCATAGATTCAGCGAAATAATCCAGCGAATGGCAGTTAGCACTCCTAACAAATCGTCTTGCTATTCGCATAATAACTGGCAAATTTTGCCGCGACAGTATAA